CACGCCGACACATTAATTCTAAAAATTATCATATTTCGACACGTTAGGACACTTTTTGATATTAAATAATATTTTTATTATATATAATATAATTTATATTTAATACATAAAACAGTTCATAATAAGTAATATAATCAATCAAATATTCAAATTCCATAACATAAATATAAAGCAAAAGTAATTTTTTATATCTTGTTAATTTTTTATGTTAAATTCCATAACAGAAAAAAATTGACTTATAAATTAATTTTTCATATTTAGTTAATAAATTAAAATATAGACCTTAAAAAAAAACGTGTCGGATGCGTGTCAGAGCGTTGACTGCGTGTCGAAAACACGTGTCAGAGCGTGTCGAAGCATTGACCGCATGTCCCCAAAATGTTGACCGCGTATCAGACGCGTGTCGAAGCGTCCCAGTGTCCGACACGTAAATTGTTTTTAAAAAAAAACCTTGTCCATGCATTGTAGAGTATGTAGTATATTAACACCTATTGACCATGTTTTTTTTCCTTCAGCTACTAGGTTAATATACTATTAATTTTCATAAGAAATTTATTGTTAAAGATTTAAATTTTAAATATTCATAATAGTTTAAAACTGTCAAAATTTAGAAATTTTATTATATAATAAAATATCCCCAAAAATTTCAAATTTAAATTATTTGTAAGAAGACAGTAATGAAAGTGTAAATTTTTTTAAAAGTTTTTTGTTCATGACTAATGGTCCAGAAAGATTGTGATATATGTAAACTTTGAGGAAGGATCCGTTTATAAATTTTTTTTACAAATTATACTAAGTATGACCGGTCATACATTCTTAATTAAAGTATGACCGGTCATACTTATAATTTGTAAGAATTTATAAAGAAAAAATTTGTAAATATAATTTTCCCATAAATTTTTAGTGAAATTATTAGCAGCACAACTTAGTTATAAACAAAATTCTTCTTCTTTTATATATTATATTGATTCCGTAGCTAAATAACTTTTATATATATTTATACGTGACTGAATAATGCAACTAATACATTTTATGTTTGAGAAAATGAAAAAAAAGTGCAGTATCATAATCCCATATGTCTATCCAATTAAAAAAACAAAAACAGAACTTCCATGCCCAGATGCAAATTTATTTATGTGTATTTTTTTTTCTCGCATAAACATATTATAAACGTGCGGTCGAAACCCGACTTTGGAATATACTGTATAGTCTTATAATATAAGAACATGAAACAAATATGATTTTCTATCACATACATGCTTGTCGTCGTCCCCTCGCTATGAAGCATAGACTCAATACTCACGTTTCTTGTTAAGATATATAGTCCTACATTGGTTGTATGTCTAACTAATGTAGAGTTTATAAGGCCTTGAGCACTTCCACCATTTGAGCTAGCTTTTGGGTGGTGTATCTCAAGGTTCTTTTACATGGTATCAGAGCTTGAATGTATAGTCCACCCTTCTAGCCCAAAGGGCTCTTGCGTGAGGGGGCGTGTTGAGATATATAGTCTCACATTGGTTGTATGTCCAACTATCATCACCGTCCCCCACTTTAAATGGAATTAAATAAAAAAACACAAAAAGGTAAACCAAAATTTGGGTCTGCGCAATTCCACGCTTCTAGCCCAGAGGGCTCTTGCATGAGGGGGCGTGTTGAGATATATAGTCTCACATTGGTTGTATGTCCAACTATCATCGTCGTCCCCCACTTTAAAGTGGAATTAAATAAAAAAGCACAAAAAGGTAAACCAGAATTTGGGTCTGTGCAATTCTACGCTTCTAGCCCAAAGGGCTCTTGCGTGAAGGGGCGTGTTGAGATATATAGTCTCACATTGGTTGTATGTCCAACGAATGTGGAGTTTATAAGGCCTTGAACACTCTCACCCTTTGAGCTAACTTTTGGGGTGACGTATCCAAGTTTCTTTACACTTCTATAATCAGATTTGACCTTGTTATATGGTAAGGTATATATATATTGATAATAGTTAAACTTTTTTTTTTAAAGAAAGTTCGACTCTTATATTAAATTATTCACAATTGTTATATGATCATTTAATTTTTTGAATGTTAAAAAAACGTTTAAATTGAGTAACAGCAATAATTCTTTTAATAGATAGCTCATTTTTTTACTTTTTGAGTGTTGCCCATCCTTAACTTCAGATATTAAGTAAATCACTTTTCAACCTACTGTTGGAGGTAAATATTTCGAGACAACGATCAAAGTGTCACAATTTTTGCAAAAAATTATCTGAATGTCACGCTTTGCAATTTTTTTCTCCAAAATACCACGTTAGCTAACTAGCTACAACACCTAGCGAGTTAGGTGCTGATACATGGCAGAAGGTGCATGGCCTCGTAAGCCGCTACACAGTGCAACTAGATTACGTGGCATCAAACATGTTGTGCAGCATAGCATGTTTAGTCAGCTTCTGACACGAGGCAAAACATGCTATGCAACATAGCATGTTACATGTGTGTCATAAAATAATTTAAATTAATATAAAATTAAACTAAAATAATTAACAAACATAAATTATATTTAATTCATTAACACCTAAATTATTTTTAGGAATGTTAATTAATTTCATTTGATTTAGTTTAAGTTAAGTTAAAAAAAATTGAACTATTAAGTAATGGTGTTGATACGTGGCAGAAAGTGCATGCCCACGTAAGCCATTGCGCAGTGCAATTAGATTACGTGGCATCAAACATGCTATGCAGTATAGCATGTTTGGTCAACTTCTAACACGTGACAAAACATGCTATGCAACATAGCATATTACATGTGTGTCATAAAATAATTTAAATTAATATAAAATTAAAATAAAATAATTAACAAACATAAATTATATTTAATTCATTAACACCTCTAAATTAAATTACATTACTTAATAGTTCAATTTTTTTAACTTAACTTAAACTAAATCAAATGAAATTAATTAACACTCCTAAAAATAATTAATTAATAGTTAAAAAATAATTTAAATTAATATAGACTGAATTAAACTAAAATAATAACAAACATAAATTACATTTAATTTATTAACACTCTTTAATTAAATTAAATTACTTAACAATTCAAAAAAAATTAACATAATATAACTAAATTAAATGAAATTAATTAACACTTCTAAAAATAATTGATTAACAGTTATAAAATAATTTAAATTAATATAGATTGAATTAAACTAAAATAATTAATTTGAATTATTTTTTAACTATTAATTATTTATTTTTAGGAGTGTTAATTAATTTCATGACACACACGTAACATCCTATGCTGCATAGCACGTTTGCCACGTGTCAAAAGCTGACTAAACATGCTATGCTGCATAGCATGTTTGATGTCACATAATCCCTGCGTACCGGCTTACGTGGCCATACACCTTCTGCCATGTGTCAACACCCAACTCACCAGGTGTTGTAGCGAGTTAGGTGACGTGTCATTTTGGATAAATTTTTTGCAAAATGTGGCATTCATGTAATATTTTGCGAAAAGTGTGGCACTTTGGTGTCTATAAAAAATACTTGAATGTCAATATGACACGGATATAATATATTTTTTGAAACTGTCACTGCACTGAAGTCGTTAGGTGATGTAGTGACTATATACACACCACGTGGCACATTTTTAATGGCCACCGAAACTTCTGTGTACCCAAAGTCACTAGATGGTGTAATTACTTTGGATTGGTTTCGATACGTGACACCTTCTTTTGGCCAAAAGAAAATGTCATGTGTTGAAACCAACCCAAAATAGCTACACCATATACCCACTTTGAGCACATATAGACTTCCCAAACTTCGGTGACTACTGAAAATGCGTCATGTGATGCATATATAGTCGCTATATTATCTAGCAATTTCAGTGCCATAACAATTTGGAACAATATATTAAATTTATGGCATTCGGGTATTTTTTATTGCTAGACGTGACAGCACTGCCAATGTCGCCTATTTGCAGAGCATGCTTTGCTGCGTTACTTGGTCCCAGCGACCGATTTTTGTGGGTACATTATAACTCCTTGTACCAATTTTTAACTTAAATCATTCACTAATTTGTATCATAAAGACAAGATGATTGAAACATGTAAAGCTAAAAAGAACTCAATCTCATAGTCTTGAGATCAAATTACTAGAACTTGGAAGGATGATTACTAGAACTAAATGCCGTTAATGAATCCTTATATTTACAAAATTACTATCGCAGATACAAAAAAACAAGAAAATAACTTTTGAAAACATATTTAAAGGGGTGTTTGATAGAAGATGAATATATTTTTTTTCCAGGAAAATGGGGTGAAAAAAATCATTTGCCCATGTTTGATAGGAGGAAAAATAAAAGTAAGGCTGAGAAAAATTTCCCATCATTTGCTTTTGATGGGGTGGAAAAAAAGTTTTTCCATGCGGTGTAAAATTATCACATAACATCAGTAAAATTAACTCAATATTCTCGAAAAAAATTTGGCCTACCATTACTCGGGAAAAAATTTTCCATCATATTTCTGAAAAAAAATTTCCTTTACCAAACACCTTCTAAGTGATTTTTCTTTTTTTTTTAGTTTTTAAAACTAAAAATAATCTTTGTTTTGGAATTCATTTTCCAAAACAACTCTATCCGAACAAGTTTTTTTACTTTTTTTTTTTAAATTAAAAACTATTTTCGAGAATAGAAATCAAAGAGGCTCTAAATTTTAAATTTCATTTATGTATTTATTTCAAGCTAGTCTTATAAACTCATCCAACCTATACCTCTTCGAAAGAATCCTATATTAAAAAAAAAAACACACACACACATCGTAAAATATCTAATATCTGTTTTTCTTGCCATTCATATAAGTTTACAATCATGCCTATGATCTAGGCGAAGGATCTTGATAATGAACCTTCAGAGAAATTAACTTGGCATGTTCCAACACCAAAAGAAAAAAAAAGAAAAAAGAAAAATCCAAATGGCCCCACAATCCAAACTCTTAACAACTAAACAAGGACAATTCCTAATCATGCATAGCTAGAAAAAGCAAGTGCAAGGACTGCCATGGCCAAACCCATGAAACCAACATCTCTCTTTACAACAATCAATGAAGCTGCATTGTTAGGAGTAGGTGCTGGCATATTGGCTACTGGAACTGGAGAGGCCATTGCTGATGGAGTTGGTGCTCCATCTGAAGAAACCCTCAGCACGTTTATATCAACCTTCTGTCCTGCTTGGCAGTGACCAGGGACACCACACAAGAAGAAATGGTGACCATAATTTGTTATCTTTATGGAGTCATTGCCAGTGGTGAAGGTTGTCAAGGTTGATGATGCATTGCATGACTTGTACATGGAGTGTGTCACTCGCATCACATTGTGGAACTGGGAATTGTATTGGAAAACTGATCACAGAAATTACCAACAATTTGAATTCTTTAATTACTTCTTTCACTTTCATTAGTAATCATAATAATCAAGAAAAGACCATGCTCTACTATATTTGAGTTCACCGTGAGACCAACCAACATTCTCATTGCATGTTGTTACTTTCTTTCAGAATGCAAAGCAAAATGTAAACAAAAAAGTTAATGCAAATGAAAGTTGTGGGTCATGCTAGTTAACAACTATCATCATTAAACAGATAGCTAAATGTCTCTTACAAGAATAATATCCATAAGAAAACAAAAGTTGTGTATGTGACTAAAATTAAATTCTCTTTTGTAGGGACCCTAAACACAGTTTCTCTTCAATTCATAATAATAATTACAGCATGATCAGAAACACAATTTTTCACCATCAAAGTGCAATGTTGGGACACTTGAAGTAAATTAAACCAAGTAATTAAAACATGGAATTTGAGTAACACTGTTCGTTTTCTTTTGATTCTGAAAGGAGGTTACAGGTACTATTGAAAGGATTTTTCACTTTCAAGAAAATTTTGAACTTATTTACCAACATTGAACACAAATAAATCATAAACCATTGGAGTCAGGGGACTTACTAACAGTGTCACCAACTTGGAAATTCTTAGTAGCAGCCCACTTCTTGTAATCTATATTTCCAATGATGGTCCAACCAGCAGAGTCCCCAACCTTGTGCACAGCTGCATATGAAACCTGAAAAGATGCCATCATCATCAAGAAAACCACAGCTCTCTCTAGTAATGCCATGGCTATAAGCTCTGCACAGTAATTAGATACCCCTTTCTCCTTTTCTTGAGGCTCTTCTCTTCTCTATGGGATCTTTATATATATATATATCCTTTCTGGCTACCCGGCTTTGGCAGTTAGAGATTGGAACTTAAAGAATGGAAAAGTGAACTAATTGGTCCCTTTCTTTTTGTTATTAATTGTTCTGATGAAAACCTCCTTTTTAATGTAAAAAACCGACATATGTGGCCCCCTAGTTTTCATTGTAATGAAGTTTGGATGGTGGCGAGTGGGTCCAATACTGTTTTCCTTATTTTGGCTATACATATTTTGCGTGAGAGATGTGTAAAATGTGAAAACATGTCAGTAAAATTGGTTCAAGCTTGCATGTAATTGCGGATTATGTGGGTTGGATCATGGATCTTGGCCTATCTTGACAATGCTAATGAAGAGTATACCCGTTTAAGTAAACCTAGTCTAAGCAAAAAGGACAGACTTGTAATTGATGGTATTGGTTGGGTGTGGATATGGGTTTAAGGTTATGTGAGACTTGTAAGGAAAGAATGTTTGGTTCTGTGCTGCTACTGTACTTCATTGCAACTATGATGACCATTTTTGCATTTTTAACATATTTTTTAAACAAACGATTGGTAAGTGTAATCATAAAATGGCTACCACCTTACTTTGTTCCTCCGTTTGGTGATCACATTGCTTTGCGCATGAGAAAAGCATTAAGCATAGCACTCGCTATATACAACATCCAATACGTTATCATTATGTATGAGTATCAAATCCAGGTGCCAAGCAACTGTCAAAGACATACAAATTAAGCGCCCTACAAGTTCTTTTTATTTTTTATTTTAATGAAAGACAATTAAGAGATGAGTGTTCAATGTAATTTTGTTCACAATTAAAATAGGGTAAATTTGTTAAAAGAAACTCTTTCATCGTAGTCAAAGATTTAGTAACTTCTTTTTCAATTAAAATGGTGCCGTACTAAACAAAAAAATTCTTTACGCTATTTTAAAATACCCTTTAGTAATTTAGTGCTTGGATTTTTTTTTTTTTTTTTTAAGCTAGAAGTTACTTATAAGCATAAGCTAGGCCAAACAGGTTTTGGTAAAAGCTCTTATAGCAAAAAACTTTTTTTTATAATAAAAAAAAAGCTGAAAACTAAAAGTTACTTGGAGGAGCTTTTTTTAAGCTCTTATCTGTTTTTCTTGAATTGTGTACTTTTTGTTAAGATGAAGTGATAAAAATATAGAGAGGGATAATTTTCTTGAAATATGTGCTTTTAAGTTAAAATTTTTATGTAGTTTCCAAACAACTTTTAGCTTCTTTTTTTTAAGCTCTCTTTTTTGCTTTATCTTATAAGTAGCTTCTAGTTTAAAAATAAGATGATCCAAACAGGCTCTTAGTTGTTCAAAGACTTGTGATTCCTTGTTTACAGTAATAAAAGTAAGAAAAAACTCTTCTTATGTTGTATGAAAAAAAATTCTCGATCCTTCGATTTGTGTGCAAAAATCTTTTTATTTTTATTTTCTCAATAAATATGAGGCGCATTATTAATTAATTAAGTAATGAGAATTGAACATAAAAGAATCAAAACCCATAAAAATAATACTTTAAAGTAAATGAACTAGCAACATCCTGTATAGAACATATATATAGGCATTATGAGCATGTGTATTTATTCACAGCAAAAAGTGTAAGCTGGAAATCAATATATATATTATTTCTTCCAAAGACAAACAATTCTGTTTTTTTTTTATGGAGATAAAAAGACAAATTCTTAGCATGTAATCAAAATCCTAAAATACTCGATAATTTGACAAACCAAAATATTTCCAGAATCCCTAATATTGCCGGAAGACATATAATTTATAACTGGGAAGCCAGATCAAATCCATTATCTAGCTTAGGGTGATTGGCTACTTTCTCATCAGCAGCATAATCATCTTCAATGTACCTCTTCCAGAACCAATGCTGCTTCCATACTCTCTCTGTCATCTCTTCAATGGGGATATTCTTTGTCTCGGGTAACAGGAAAAGCACGAAGAAAGACATGATCAAGACCCAGCCAGAGAAGAACAAGAAGATGCCAAACTTGAAGTGGCACAACATAGAGAGGAAGGCCTGTGCAATGACGAAGGTGAATAGCAAGTTGACACAAACGGTGATACTCTGCCCAGCAGAGCGAGTCTCCAATGGGAATGTCTCACTGGGTATCAACCAACCAAGAGGACCCCAAGACCAAGCAAAGGAAGACACAAAAGTACACACCATAACAACCACCAACACCGCAAAACCTTTTGAAAGGTCATCAGAATGGTCCTTCACTTTTATTCCCAATATGATTGCTATCACCACTTGAGACAAGAACATCTGCACACCAGCTTCCAGTAAGAGCATGCGACGTCCAATTTTGTCCACCGAGTAGATTGAGACAATAGTTGAGAGCACATTAACAGCCCCAGTAATCACAGCAGAATACAGAGAAGCATCATTCTTGAATCCCAAAGTGTTGAACAGCACTGGAGCATAAAACATGATCGCATTGATGCCCGTGAATTGCTGGAAGATCTGTTTTACAACACCCAAAAAACATAGCAATTGAGAATGCAGAGCTATAGCACTTTAATGTTATATAGTTTATGTAGGTTAGAAAAATGTGATGGAGTTATTAGTACTGACCTGCAAGGCAATGGAAATAATAATTTGGGGTCGGTTCCTACGCTTGAGAAGATTCCTGAATGGATGTTTCACTTCTTTAGCAATACGACTTGCCTCAACAAGCTCCAAGAACTCAGGTTCAATGTTGTCAGTACCACGAATCTTTCTCAGCACGGCTTTACCTTCTTCCAAGCGACCACGCTCAATGAGACTGTTAGGGGTGTCCACTACCAAGAGAGCTCCCACTGTGATGAGAATTGCTGGGATACCAGCCAATCCTAGAGACAGCCTCCAACCCCAACCACCTTTGATTCTGTCATTGCAGGCCAAAACATTAATTATTAGTCAATGAACATGAGTCTAAGGTAAATTGAGACAGCAATTTCAGAATTCATTTATTTTGTCTAAAAAAACATTAGCAATCATTTTACGCGAAAACAAAATAGATTGCATGACTTGCATATGAAATGAAAGTCAGTGTGTGATTTTACTCTCTTTTTCTTACTTAGCAATATGAAAATAAAAAAGTAACTATTTCTAGGAACAGGATCACATTCAATAGAAAAATTAATTAGAAGAGGTGTAGTTAAAAAATTACTTTCAAAATGCATTGTCCCTTTGCATATAACACACTACAAATATAACATATTGAATCCTAATCCATGTTTATTTGGAGTACCCATCTTTAATCTAGGATTCAAAACAGACACTTTATGGTTAAAAAAAAAAATTAAATAAACAATTGTCCCTTTGCATATAACACACTAGCTACAAATAGGTAAAACACGTGCTAGACTTTAAATTATGGTGACAAAGGTCTTTTTTTGACTTTTCTATTCAACAGTATCTCTCACGCCCATCAATATGCCAATTTTGACCGGTTACCACCCACACTATCCATTCATTCAATTTGCTAACTACTACTAGTGATGAAAAACTGAGCATGAATGACGTTCTAACACTGGGAAAATATTTAAGTATTTACTACTATATTGAATATGATTTGTTCTTTTTTAGCACATAAATCGTCTAATTCGTTTTCATTTCCAGTGATGATGCAGGAGCACACAAGATACTTACTTGTTGGTGCCATAGTTGACAAGGTTAGCGAATAGAATGCCGATGGTGACATTGAGCTGGAACAATATATTCAACGCTCCACGTATTCTTGAAGGAGCGATCTCAGAAAGGAACACTGGCACGGCCTGTCATCAAATTGAAACAAATAAGTTTAATGAGATACCGCACCAAAACATAAGTCTACTAAGGCAACTGTTATCAGATTTTGTTGATTTACTTTCTGGTACCATTAATTATTAGTCAGAGAGTTGATTTTTAATTACATTGTAATTTATTGGGACCACAATTAGCTTGTGTGCGTAAGGAATCAAAAATAAGGTCCCAGTACGTAATGACTAAAGAGTTACAGGAAAATAGAATTTGTGCAGTACAAAAATATTGCAATGCTGAAGACCTTAAAGTCAAAAGCAAATTCAAAGATGGAAACAAAATTCAATATGAGGAACATTAAAATATAGAAGGGAAAGGGGTCTCTATCAAGTGTCAGTACGTGTATTTAAGGCAAAAAAAGTAGTGAGATCGAATATTGTCACAAAAGTCTCAGTTCAAACTATAAACTTGCCTTCCATTGGACATGACAATCCACGATATTATTGTGGGGTCATTCATCTGTCTCCTCCACGACAAAACCCCTTGTTTTTTTTTTAATATTTCAAATTATTTATATATTCATACGACGTCGGCCATGTTCTCTCCATATATAAATATACACCCACACAATACACACCAAATAAAAACTGCATAATAATTTTCGTGTTTAGACGAAAGAGGCAAACGAATCGCATAAAACAATATCAATGATACTTCAAATCGCATTAATAAAGTGCAAAATAGAGACGTGCACTGAATCAATATCCCATTTAAATCTTTCCATAAATCAAAACCTTGACCTTATTGAGCAAGGAGTAGAAAACAACTACATATGATAAATTAAGGATGAATCATTTTAAAGAAAATATTATATAGATAGTAATCAATAAACGAGTCACATGTATACATGTACACTAGTTTTATTCCATTAGCATCGGTCCAAGGAACAATAAGTCAACAGTGTCATTAACTCCAATTACTTAAAATAATTGATTCTCTTATGTGATAGAGAGTAAAAGACAATGACGAACCTGGTTAGCAAAACCGACTCCACATCCAAGTAAGATCCTACCAACGATGAGCATGGCAAGGTTTTGAGCAGCAACATTAAAGACAACTCCTCCGATGAAGAAGAAGCCAGAAATCAACATGGTAAGCCTTCTTCCCAACTTACGAGTGGTGTAAGAGGCGAAGAACGTGGCAGTTAAACCAGCGAGGTACAGAGACGACGTGAAAAGCTGCAATCCTTCGTTGTCGTATTTGCAATAATTACTGTCCAACCCTTTCTCCTCCACTGTCCTTCTATATACAACTGGAAAAAACTTCTTCAAGAATGGTGGCATAGACGTCACACCACCTGTTTATTCAAGCACCAGAACACAAAAATATTATAAGATTTTGACAACAAAAAAACAGAGGTAGAAAAAAAAATCATTTAAATAAAAGGAGGATATGATATGATTAATTACATAAAAAAAAATAAAGAAAAAATTGGGCCAGTGATAAACTAGTAATTTGCACTAGAAAGTGGATATAAATGCGTAGTAATTTAAATGGGTGTATATAATTTAACAAAGACATGTAACATATTTGCACTAGAAAGTGAAATTGGTGAAAAAGAATTAATTTGATTTGACGGTGCAAGCAATTGAAAATCTCATAGACACCCTTGTCAGGCTGTTGTTGGCTTAGGATGGTAGTTGAGCAATTTCGGGAACTCACATGACTGCTTGGATTCCCGCATCATCGGCTCACGAGTCATGATCTTTATTAAAGCAAACCAAAAACAATTGAACATTTTTTTTTTCGATAGAAAATAAAATAAAAGATCTCATTATCCACACAAAATTATCCGGAAATTGATTTTCGACAACTGTGTCCGGACACAGACACAGTTGTAAGACTTTTTGCATACTCTGCCCAGAAAACCTATCACCCTATGTACTGTGCATTTTTTCTTAGACCGGTAAATAAAAATATACGGCCCCCATCCATCAAAAAAAACTTTTTTACCTTTTCCTTTTCTTTCGTTCATAGGGTAATAGATTTGGAACGGTTCATGATTGAGTTTGTGAAAAAACAAGCAAGAACAATAACCATTATACATGAAATAAGGGAACGGGGAGAAAACCTGAAACGCCAACGTCGTAGCCGAACATAAGACCACCGGTGGCAGCCATAATACATGAAATGATGACGATTGGAGTGATCTTGGCCTCAAAATCGGCACCTGAACCACTCGATATGATAACTCCGACAGCCATGGATGGTAACTGTTTCCGAGCAACAAAGGTCTTTAACCAATGTATACAAAAACAATGCTCTAGGAAACACAGATAGAGAGAGTGATGTGTAGTTGTTGAGGAATGAAAAGATGGGAGAGGCAAGGGGTATTTATAAGGAAGCTAGAGCGTTAACTTTTAATTTTTTTTTTTTTTTTTGGATAACATTACTTTTAATTTGATCTAATCTACGATGATTATGCAATAGTGGGCGTTACCACTCTGATGGGCCCACGTGCCCTTTCCCATTTTCCTTTTCTTTTTTTGAACAAAACTTTCCCATTTTCTTTATTCCTTTTTTTCTTCATCTTTCTATTTGGGCGGCTGACAAGTCAATGCCATAATACTGTTTATAAATGAGTAATTCAAATTACTGCAAATTACTTTGACTGATTTGATTGAGTAAATCAAATTACTGCAAATCAATTTTCTTGAGTTGATTGAGAAAATCAAATTATTACAAATTATTTTTAGTGATTTGATTGTGTAAATCAAATTACTGCAAATCAATTTTCGTGAGTTGATTGAGTAAATCAAATTACTGCAAATCAATTTTCTGCAAATAGTTTTCTTTAGTTGATTTTGTATTTGTTTTTTTATAGATTTTTTGTATTTGTGTGGATTACAAAAGTTACTTTTCCTAATAGTAATTAAATTCATTTCTGTGTAATAAACATGGATACTTAATATAGATTTAAAATATCAAGATTTACTATCTTATATAAAAAAAGTTACTTTTTAATATAAAAATTAGTATATTACCCGTGCGATGCACGAGAAAAAAATCAATCGATTTGTCAAAAAAAACTTGTCGAATTGAAAAAAAAAAAACAGAGTTATGTACTATTTTTACTATCATGAAGCGATTGTATAGTATTGTAGTAAAAAAAACATTTATTACAGTGCACCCAAAGTATTCATCTTTTCATAATCAAAAACCAAGTATCCACATTTTGTATAAAAACTTTATTTTAATAATAATATAGATAATACAAGCTCTTTTGCTTTATTTCTTAAGTTCCTTTTATTTTGATATAAAAAATGTGTTCTACAAATTATTTTTACTGATTTGATTGAGTAAATCAAATTACTGCAAATCAATTTTCTTGAGTTGATTAAGTTAATCAAATTACTGCAAATAGTTTTCTTGAGTTGATTTTGTATTTGATTTTTTATAGAATTTTTGTATTTATGTGGATTACAAAAGTTACTTTTTTAATATCAATTAAATTCATTTCTGTGTAATAAATATGGATACTTAATATAGAATTAAGATATCAAGATTTAATACCTCATATAAAAAAAGTTAGTTTTTTTTATATAAAAATATCTTATATACCAAGAATATTAATCAAACTCAAGAAAACTGAAACTTATCATTTATCCATTGTTATATTTTTTCAAACTTGAAAATCTAAAATTTATTATAAATAATAGAGATTTAATTACTGACTTTTCTTTTCTTTTCTAATTTATTTACAAAAAATCCTTATAGAAAAATTGTTCTGATAAATTGACATTAAATTAGCATATTTTTTTATAGAATTAAATATTTGTATTATATTACCAAAAATATATATATTGGTATAAAATTCATTAAGTTAAATATACATAACATCATAAATAATTATAATTTTTCTTGCGTCATTTTTTGAAATTTTTATAAATTCAAATATATTATATTTATTGTTAATAATAATAATTTCATGATCATACCAAAAAAAATATTCATGATTATTTTTTCATCTTTTTTTAAGATTTTCAGTAAAAGAAGGATGATGCTTTTCCAGAAATTTCGTTATAAATTCTTCTAAAAACAAAAAAAATAAAAATTATTAAAAAATAAAAATTCCAAAAACAACATATTTTTCTTTTCAAAATACACTTCTAATAAAATAATTTATTCAAAGACAACTTTATGTCATTTACACTCTAATTTCAATATATTATAATGATATTGATTATAAAAATATTTTTATCTGTGGTTAAAAATAAAACATAATTTTGGAATATTTCTTGTCAAGTGTCAACATAAACAACAACATATTGTCAAGAAAAAAATTATCATTGTGGACACTAAATTAATATTTTTGAAAAAACAACCCCTTACGTAGCATTGATTTTTTTTAAATAATAAAATGAAAAGAGAGATCAATAATCAAATTTTCATTTTGACCATAGTTATCATTATCGTACGATACCCGAAACGATTCACAAGCCTAGTGATATATATCGTGGAATGTATCAAAAAAGAGTTTGTGTCGAGTGATACGATATGGTATCGTGCGATACGATACGATATTGTATCATGGAATAAGATATGTATCGTGCGATATGATACGAAATGTGTATTATACGATACAAAAATTAAACTAAATTAAAATTTATAATATTTAATACAAAAAAATAAAGATTTGATTTGTAATTGAAATTTTAAAAAATCTGAAAAAAAATATTATTAATAAGGGAAAAATAAAGAATAATAAGGAGAGAAGACATCAAGATATTTGAACAAGAAATGAGAGATGAGTAAAATAACTATGGGTGTTCGCGGTCTGTATTTGATCGATTTTGAAAGCAAAAATCATCTGATCCAATCCCTTTGGTTTGATCATGTAATCATCCATTCACTTTGGATTTTTTTAAAATCATCCGATCCAATCCAATCCATTTTTTTTCAATTTGGATTGAATCGATTTTCGATTTTTTGAAAATCCTAAAAACAAATTCATGAATATTGAGCAAATAACATCCTTTGTATATATTGACTTTGTAAATTTTTATTTTTATTTTTTGAAATATAAAAGCATTAGTAAACGATAATAAAGTTTTTTTTTGTGGGGCAATGAGATATGAAGCTCTACACAGATATAATTTTGTTGATGAGATGTGACTAGGCTTTTTCTTGGTTTTAGTTGATGGGTTTTGGGTTTAAAAAATTTTGGGCTATGATTGGGGAAAGGTCCAAGAAGGTAGAGGGGAATTAATATATTGGATCGGTTTGGATTAGATCAATTTTCATCAATCAATCCGAAAACCGATCCAATCCAATTAAAATTTGCGATTTTTTTTTGTTTTCGATTTTCGGTGTATTCGGTTATCGATTTTTCGATTCGGTCACCGCGGTTTGAATCGGTCGATGAACACCACTACAAGTAACTATGTTAATAAGAGGATGATGAATTAGTCATATCACTGATAGATGCTGATAGTGATATTAGTGATAATATCTATCTATATATAACTAGAAGAGAGAAATCACTAGAGGACAAAAATGTCATGTGTGTCTACTTTAGACCCCATGAACCAGATTCATTTTCACACTTAACCAGTTAATAACAATAATAATAATAAATTTAGAAAAAATAATAATATGTACCCTTAATGGGAACTAAACGAAAATAGTAACCTAAATGAAAATATTGAGGAACGAAAACTAATGAGTCAGAAATATTAGAAGTTGTTGGTCCCAAGTTAGCTTAAAAGAATAATAATATATACCCTTAATGGGAACTAAATGAAAATAGTAAACTAAATGAAAGCGGAAACTAAATGAGAAACGGAAACTAAGCGAAAAATGTAAACAAAATGAAAAACGTAAATTAAATGAAAAACAAAAATAAATTAAATGAAAAACGAAAATCTATGTCTGTATCTATATCTATATATAACTAGAAGAGAAAAGTCACTAGAGGATAAAAATGATGCGTTCCTGCTTCAGACACCATGAACCAGATTTCTTTTCATACTTAATCGGTTAATAACAATAATAGTGACAATAAAAATGCCATGTGTCTACTTTAGACCCCATGCACTAGATTCCTTTTCACACTTAACCGGTTAATAATAATAAATAAATAAATAAATAAATATTAGTATATATCTTTAATGGGAACTAAATGAAAACCGTAAACTAAATAAAAACAAAAACTATATTTCAAATAAAAATTAATTGGAAAACGAAAACTAAATTGGAAACGTAAACTAAATGATAATAGTATATATCCTTAATGGGATTATAGCACAAAAACGTAAAATAAATGAAAATGAAAACTTCATGAAAATCAAAAATTAATTTTGAAACAGAAACTAAATTAGAAACAAAAACTAAATGAGTCAGCAATAACAGAAGTTTTCTATTCCATTAAAGGCTCAAAAAAATAATAGTATATACCTTTTATGGGAACTAAATGAAAACCGTAAACTAATTAAAATGGAAACTATATTTCAAACGAAAATTAATTGAGAAACAAAAACTAAATGAGAAATAGAAACTAAATGAGTCAGCAATAGCAGAAGTTTTCTATCCCAAGTTGAATTAAAAAAACAATAGACATTATTTTAATCTATAGTTGCAGTCTCCATACAAAACCTGTCCTTTTAAATGCGTATGTTCATGCTTCACAATTCTCAATACAAGAGAAGGAGTGCAACAATAAAACTTTGTGACTTCACCCTGGTTTGTCTGTTGTGTATTTGGTTATCTATTACATTTTCAAATGGTTTCAATTCAATTTTTTAACCTAGCACTTTAAGAGAGACACATGTGTGTTTAAATGAAAAGCTATAAAATTCTTTATTTGCTTCATAAATTGTGGTTGTCTGTGCGGATAAAAGTGGGTTGGGTTGGGCCAAACTTTATCCCGAAAAGCCTAAGCATATGTCAAAAAATTTTAATTTGGCCTGGTCCGAGCCTAGTACAAGTCTAACTGTTAGCCTGGTTTCACCTCTTTATAAAAAAAAAACCAAAAAAATGGCCTTTCTTAGCCCATTAACTTGTTAATTTTTAACTTCCAATTTAATAGATTCATATAAGCAATCTCATATACAAAGATGTTGGTTCCTACTATATAAAAAATATAGCCAAATTTCTATTAAAATTTAATCAAATATAATTAAATTATAAAATAATTTCAATTGATTAAATTTATACATTTTATTTTTTCTTCAAGTCATACCTATTACGTAGTCAATCTTCGTCATATATTAACGTTTGGATGGTATCTTCAGCCAAGTTAGAACTATAGTCATCAATAATGTTGCTTTTTATAGTATTGTAGAT